TTTTTTAAAAATTTGAAATTGTGCTGTAACTTTTGCAGTGCAGTATTGCTACAGTACTTTTACTCAAGTAAATATGTAATCTGAAAACATCCTATGTCACTACACAAAAACTATCAATAACATCAAATATATAACGTTTGTATAAACAGCAGACAAACGTTAATCATATGAAAATGTAAAACAGTTTACTTGTGTGTCATTATTTTAAAAACTGTATATTAGTAAGATGTTAAATCATTATATTTAGTTTTTATTGTTCTTTAAATGTTTAGTCTCAAAGCCTAATGTGGATTGCTAATTGCTAATTATTGGTCTGATTAGTGAAGCAATAAATTCAAAACACCCCAAATGCTTTATGGTTGCGTTATAAAAAGGCAGCAAATAATTGAAACCAGTGAGCCTGTGAGTGACGAGATGCAGCAAACCAACAGCTTTCACTTATATAATGGCCTCACTCACAGCTGGTTAAGTGGTGAACGATTTACTGTCATTCCTCCAGCTGTGGGGGTCTTATATTGTGTCTAGCTGTGTCACTGCTGTGAATGGAAGTTTAAGTCCATTTTCTTAACCCACTGACCTAATTTTAGCAAATCATTCGATGGATTGACGAGTAAATGCTCCAGAGGGACGTCTGGACCACTCCGATGAGAGACTGATATGAACGGATGCTGTTTGACCTCCTTGATTCGATTACCAGCATTTAACTCTGACTGATGGGATTAGGAGCTCTGTGACGCACCACAAGATGGAGCCAAGAGCACAGATAAACCAGGAGGGAAAACTCACAAGACAAAGTTTCTTTATTCTCTTTATTTAACTTTAGCTCAAAGCACTCAACAGTTTCCTGGTTGCATTTATGTTTTTTTTTAGGTCCTCAGGTTGAAGTTCCCAGGTTCATTTGTATGTGCAGAGAGTTCCGCCTGAGAATAATTGGGAGGCCTGTAGCTACCACTGAGGACACAGAGGTAATGTCCTCTAACATTTATGGAAATGTGGGGGTTTTAATGAGATTATAATATAATAATAAACTTAAATGAAATGAGTATTGTTCACCAGAATTACATAACTGGCACAGGACCATGTGAGATAAAGACATGAACTTGTTGGTGGCCAGTACTAGATTGTCCTGGTTTGGTGGTGTGGTATTTCTCTGGCTTTGATCCTGATTATTATAGGTTGTTTTGTTTGAGTAACGATTATTAGATAAGACTTTGCAGTGTGACAAGAGTAAAAAGAAACATGCTTGAGCATTTATGCAATAGAGAGAAATGTTTTACTATCACTGAAAGCATCTTCCTATTAAGACGTATATACTAATAGTCTGTTTGGAATAATAATGTGTGTCTGATGAAGTATAATTTTGACAATTGTTGTCTCCTACTTCACTGTGAAGTCCATTGTCGGTGTCTGTGCACTGGTTGCTTCATGTTTCTATATGAACAAGAAGAAAAACATATATTTTGACTGGGGGGGCTTTAAAAATAAGTACTTAAACTGCTTTTTCATTTCAGATCGCACAGGTTAATTTATAATCTAAATGTCCAGCCTGTAATCAGGTCAAACTGAAAGTGAAAGATGTTGAGTTATCAGAAACTGGAACTGCACTCACCTTGGGCAGTTTAAAAATATCTCCACAATCTATATCATACTATAAATCTGATCCATTAAACTCTATTAAGGTTTTGGCCTTAAATCTCATGTGTGAACAAATAAGTTTTTCCATGAAGAATGACTCATACAATAAAGCTGTGTTTGCCTTATGGTCCTCTTGAAATCTAAATTGGCCTTATTAGATTGAAAATTATTAGATTGGAAATTACAGATAATCACGGCTGAATTGCACAGCATTGTGCAGTACACACTGTAGATCCATGACTCACATTAATTTATCACAAGGTTTCAATTCGGTAAATTATCTCTTTATCCGGGTTCACAGCCAAAGGCATCATCACTGACCTGTAGATTCATGTCAGGAACGTCATGTACTGCAGCCCTGTTTACACTGAAGGATAATCAATCAAGCATTGTTCAATAATTAACTGATAATGAAGGAATGAGCAGGGATAGCAGTGAACTTTACCCTGTGTTTATCATCACAGTAGCCTTCAGATCATGTGGTCGGTCAGTCCATTAGCTGCTGTTTGATTAAAGCGACAGCAGCACAGATAATCCAGCAGGACTTCAGTCCGTCTGCTGATCGGCTGCGATGGAGGAAGGATGAGAGAGTCTGGATTATCCAGCAACCAACACCACCACCCCCAACAAACACACAGCAATCCCAGTGACACCCATTTGACCCAGTGCCTTATCAGTCTGAGTGCCAGACAGTCTTAAAAGGACAGACAGGTTACGTTCACACTGCAGGAAAAAGTGGCAGATTTTTCTTTTGCTCATGTGTGACTTACGGTAGATCTGTTTTTTAATGACAAATCACATGAAATCTGATCAGATACAGGTCTTATCTTTTCCTCAGTGTGAACAGTCATATCAGAAATCAGATCAACATTCCCAGTAACCTGAGGAATAACGTAGCCTAATACATGATCCATTTTCTTTAATTTAATTCAATTAGATTGTGACAACTACTGTAAAAGCACCTCTCCAGCACTCTCAGGCTGTGGTGTGGAATTCTGCACACCAGACTTCAGGGTCTATAATGTCATGTGATAATTAAATTCAATTTGTGTAGTTGCCAGAGTTGTACACAGTAATAAAAGCTACCAAAGAGCTCAGTGATACTGATAAATAAAACAAAACATTGAAAATATGTTATTTATTTTAAACAAATGATGATCTTAAAACAGATTTGAGAGTTTGTTCTGATTTGGGTATTTATCTGGTAAAATGTATTCACTGAAAAGAGGAAGAGTTGAAGTGTTCTCCTGTAATTTAATATAAAAAGAGAGGTGGGGGGTTGAGATCCAGGGTTCCCCAGTCTACACAAAGCGCAGCCCATCACCAATATCTTGCTGAATAATTGCCAAAGATTGCAGGGACAGTGTGCAATGTGAGTCTGGGGGGCCCTTAGTGGTCTGGGACTGGTATAACCCTACATATACAAGGTCAACCCAAACTGTGAAGACCTTCTCCCTGCTGACTGGGAGCAGCAGCCCAAACACAACTCTCCTTCTCCAGCTGTAATCAATTGCCTTTCCAGCTACTCCCTCTATTC